TCTCTCTCTCTCTCTCTCGCTCTCTCTGTCTCTCATAATATCCTGGTAGACCAGTCCTCGACATGCCTAATTCCACTTAAGTTAACCATCCAACCTCTTCCACTATCCCAAATCCTCTTTTGTCCGATATATCTTACCTTCCTTACTTCCTTTTGAAACCACACCCTCTTTTGTCTGCCGTCTTTTCAGCGTGCTTTCATTTTGACGAAGATTAAAACAATTACAAGTAAACGTAGGGCATTCAGTGTCTTGATTTTTGCACTTACCTTTTTATTTCGTGCTGTTTCTAGTTCTCGTAATCCTCCTCATCGAATTTAATATTAGATCCAGTTTATAAGTTTATAAAAACTCCCTGTAACTATGTGCCCATTGCCGCCATGTTGTGCCGCTCTCTGAGGCGAGCCAACGAATGCTGTCACTTGTTGTGGAGGTACGCCTTCACTTCTTTATACGACACCAAATAGGTCGTTTTTCTCGTGAAACCTTATTAAAACCTGGTGGTCATCAATGGTTTATTTTACATATGTATATTTTCCCCAGTCATTGAATGAAATTTAGTGGTACACGGATGTCTCCTTCTTCACTACTCGTCAGTTAAGTTTGCGCCAAAACACCAATTTCTCTCTTGTCATTCACTGTGGCTTGCAATAATTTTTAAACATATTCTTAATCACGCTATGGTACAACACGAAGCTAAATACAACGTCCACGGTATCCTGCCTCGTGTCTTAGCGTCTACTTTTAACAAAATAGTCTGCTACCATGCGGTCGATCGCTGTCACCTGCCTAGAACTTCGATGATTGTGTACGGATCAATTGTTGTAAGCTGCTCAACCGAAAACCGTGTTGACCTCGTTTATCCGATAAGTAAGGTGTTTTTTTTTTTTTTTTTTTTCTACCTGTATATTTGAATTGTACGGAATGGGAAGGAAGGATAGTAACCAAGGATATTTTATTTGGCTACCTCTATAGGTCTCGACGACTTTTTATCATCATGTACATGTATATTGACATTTTTGGTTGTGAAAGAAACCTAGTGACGCCGTGTTATGTTATTTTGATTTAATTCAGACTGTATCCCCAGCTCGCTTGTATATGGGAAGTTTTTTTAGCATACTTAGGGCGTATTCCCATAGATTTTAGATCGATCTTTCCCCGTGGGGAGTCTCACTAGATTACTGTCAGATAATCCGGCTTAAATGTCCGTCCCGCCTACTACAAGCTGTAAGGGGGTAATTAACTTTCGTGTCCGCTCGGCTGACAGCTATTTAGCGTGAACTCCCAGGGAGTTAGGTCGATCTAGTTTGGATCGATCTAATCTCTGGGAATGGGGTCTTAGATATACCTCTGTTTCCGTACACACTCGCGGGCAAACATATTTTATTATGTATAGATACCTGGACCTTGATCACTAATGCCCATGATAAAAATTCATGAAAATGCTGTTTCCTTCTCCTCCGATCCTCCCCCCCCCACCCCGCACACACGAGAGACGAGAGAGAGAGAGAGAGAGAGAGAGAGAGAGAGAGAGAG